AGACGAGTTTGCAAATTCTGGCTATTGATCGTCTATCCGGGGCTAAGTAGGGGGGTCTGCACACAATACATCTATTATAGGTATCTAATCTGTTCGAGTGGGAATTATTATACAGGATGAAACAAGAACAAGAAGCATAAATATATACTAAGGGCAGAGATTAAGGGTATGGGGCCACCCTTGTAATTTCTGCAATCGTCAACGGATTTTTCTGAGCTTTGGTACAGTTATATAAGCAACCATTTCGGATTTGATTACAATACAATTCAATATGGCGGACTTTCGGTTTTTCTAAAAATGGCAGCAACTCGGGCAGCAACATTGTTTTTCAAATTGAACACCCTGTATATTTTTACATATTCAAGTTCAACAGATCAAAAAAGTGCAATCTTCTGATTTTCCACACAAAAAAATAATGTTTGATCAAAATGTGATGTGACTGAAAAGATTCATCGATAAGTGACACAAAAAATATGTTCCCAGAAAAATTATGTTACTCTAGTATGTGAGACTCATTGTGAATATATAGCCTCTACCACATCTCATTTATCCACGAGGTAAAATAGAACAATTTTAATTAAAATTTTTCCGAAAAAATGACATTTGACATAAATATTGTACTTGTTGGGACCTGTTGAACTTGAATATGTAAAAGTATACAGGGTGTTTCATTTGGAAAACAAAGTTGTTGGCAAATTCACGGCATACGTCAACGATTCAATGTATTTACCTTTTGCAAGCAATATCGAGAGGGGTAGCTATGGCTTGTGACCCCTCAGTGAAAAGAGGAATCCAGCGTACTAGTCAAATGTTAGTTCGTTCAAAAGTTGCAAAAAATTGAATGTAATTTTAAAATTCATTTTTTTTTTCAACGTATCAATAGTTCAAAATGTGTGTTGAATAATTATTGATGACAATTTTTTGCCACAACTGTTATCTGCTATTGTATTCCAGTGTTTTTATAGAGCCACAAAAAGAAATTTAGTTTTTTTGCCGCATCCACATTTCGAAACGAAGTGTTATTGCAAACTGGTGGAAATGCCCTTTATCACTGTCACTATAAGTCGAAATTTTGATGAAAGTACGTTAAAAATAATATATTAAACTTCGAAAATTAAATTTTGATTTTATGCGACCCCCAAACGTACTGCAAAGTGAAACATGATCAGTACGCTGGATTCCTCTTTCAACCAGCTTTCCAATGAGGGGTCGCAAGCCATAGGGTTGCATTGGAACAAAACATGTTGGGGTTGATTCTAGCTACCCCTGAAACTTAGACGTGTCTCGCGAATTTTCAGAAAAATCATTCACTCTCCCAGTAGCGAATTTATTCCAGTTAAATTCTCCACCCTGTATTATAACTGTACGAAGTTTCATAAAATTCCGTTTACGAATGCAGAAGTTACAGGAGTGGCCCGATACCCTGTGTCACCCGGTATAGTAGCTTTAGCGATATTCTCCAGTGACATGATTTCTGGAGAATATCTCGAAAGATACTATGGAGTCAGGTAATCTTGATTTCTTCTTTAGTTCCTACCGAGGTTTCTACTGAGGATGGCATTTTAGTTGTCGAAATACGTATCCAGGCTTTTCAAAGCCCATCAATATAGCGTGTATCGGGTATATTTGTGTTTGATTTTTCAACCATAGCCTCCTAAATTTTACTTTATACAGAGTGATTCAGAATGTTAACGATTTCATGAAACTTCTTGATTGTATTACTTATCCATCATTCAAATTAATGCCGATTTTTCATGTCTCAATTCATGGTTCGATACGAGGTGTGACGTTTAAAATTTCCATATTCTCACTGTGAAGCTGTTGAAGTAGGTAAAGTGTGTCGTTGTGTCATAATTACATTGACTAGGTTACGCAAAAGTGACTCTCGATAATTATATTACTTGACACTAATAATTGATATTATCTTAATACGTAGGTATCGACATAGGTAGTAGGGTAGGTACTATATTACGGCGTATTTTTTAAAAAATTATAAACTATGAAGCGGGTCTATAGCTACCTACTTCGAAAATCAAAATCATAACAAAAATAACTATTACCTACCCTCCCCCCTAGAGATTCACCTCAGGACGAGTAACTCGATTTTCATAAACTTAGCAGCAATGCGCAGCAATGTAAAAGGGATTAAACCGATTAAACGCCCTTTTTAATGAGGCCTCATACTTTACCCCATTTCCATGTGAAAAAATTGGGGGGGACCCTTTATCTCAATTCTCACGGGATGGTTCAAGGTTTGTTTTGCTATGTTTGTTGCGTAAAAAAAGTTGTGCCCCTGACAAACATAATGCCTTGCGGTACGTTTTATATGGGTCTATACTAATCCCGTCGTAAAAATCCTAGGATTCCAAAAAAGATATCATGATATCAGTTCTACTATACCTACTGTACAACTTCCAATTAGGTATTATCCCCACGATTTCTAGGTTTTACTCGGTTTTACTATACTAGTTAGAAACGAATCTTCATCAAATGTTGTCAATAGTTTCAAATAGGTATATAGTCTTTTAAACTTGTTAATTCTGAGAACTCAAGCTACTGTTTGTGTTTATTTAGATTTGCATTGATTATTCTCAATGATAGTAACTAGTGACCATGTACAGTAATTGAAGTTAATAACTACCTAGCTTGATTCCGTGACTTTCAGAACATGATCAATTATTGTCAATAACAATAGTGCCAAACAACAATAATTATCTATGAACCATGCTCAAGTTGTACAATTCGTACACGTGGTCGATTGGTTCGTAATATTTGTAGAAAATAATATGATCTGGACAAAATTTGGAAGGAGATAGATTTAGTTCTCACAAGACTTCTACTGTTGAGTGGTTTCGTAATGAAAACAATCGGGTTTGAATCTTTATTTATCTTCGGAAACAATTTTTTGCAACCATTTACAAAAAAAAAAATACAGTGAGCATGTACTTTTCACTAGTGTGCCAGTATTACCTGTTATTAGCATTTTTATCAAATGATTGTTAGTTCAGTTTGAAAAATGTTTTGTTTGTTGAAGATGACATGGACATGTATTCAAAGCTAAGATAATGCTATGAAAAACTTGAAAAAAATGGGGTGGTAGGAAAAATAATATTCATAACATTTGAGACCTCGTCACCTCGCAAGCATTCATGTGGAGAATCTGAAATTATGAAATTAATTAATTAATCAATCTCATTGTTTGGTCCTCTAATATTGGTTGTGCGTTGTGCACAGAACAAAGCATTCATCCATCGTGATTGTTATTGTGAACGAAATAAGACGATGAGTTATTGGTCGCAGGTCAGGTCACTAATTTGATGCGTTAATGTTAATCAGTCGTGAGAATCGAAATTTGCTTCTATTCATGAATGACATTGATTTGTACGGCTGAATGAAATAGAAAATTCGAATGTTTACACTTATTTGCATCGCGGATAACAATGATGTCATCCCTCCTTTCACTCCCTTTCTCTTTTCCTATCTCTACCTCTCTCCCTTTCTTTCCCTATTCCCCTCTCCCTCTTCCCTTATTTCCCTCTTTTCCTCTTATTTTCTTTCCTTCCTATCTGTCCCCTCCCTCTCTCCCTCTTTCTTTCTCTCGTGTCCTCCCATTCTCTCTCCCTTTCTATCCCTATTACCCTCTCCCTCATCCCTTATTTCCCTCTTTTCCTATTACTTTCTTTCCTTCCTATCTGTCCCCACTCTCCCTCTTTCTTTCTCTCTTGTCCTCCCATTCTCTCTCCCTCTCTTTCCCTAATTCCCTCTCCCTCTCTTAACCTAATTCCTTCTCCCTCTTTACTCATTCTTGTGTTCATCAACTCAGGAACTCAGATCATTGATACAATAAATTAAAAGTGCAAACAAACCTTTTAATAAAAAGCTTTTATTTAAACGCTCTAAAAAGAAGAAAATAAAATTTGTCTTTATAATTTTAACTATCAACTTATAACCTCATTATACACAATTTATATTCACTTGTGTCAATGAACTAGTACTTATTTAATTATGTAAAATCTGCTGAGATACAATTTTTAAAATTACAATTCAATTAAATATTGATCATCGCGACAAGCTTGTATGATCATATAAATTGTGTATAGTGAGGTTATAAGTTGATAGTTAAAATTATTAAGAAACATTTTATTTTCTTCTTTTTAGAGCGTTCAAATAAAAGCTTTTTATTAAAAAGTTTTTTTTCACTTTTTATTCATTTTTTAATTTGTAGTTATCGCTAGCAACGAGCCTTTTCATTCGATACCCATATTGTAGAAGTATATTATTATTGAAAATGACCATTCCGCCATCTTGGATGGTCCGCCATAATGGATTTAGAATGACGTCACATCATTTTTCGAGTTACTCTCAACGAGCCTTTTCATTTGATACCCATATTGTAGAAGTATATCAAAAATAGCTATTCCGCCATCTTGGATAGTCCGCCATATTGGATTCAGAATAACGTCACATTATTTTTCGAATTACTCTCAACGAGCCTTTTCATTTGATACCCATATTGTAGAAGTAGATTAAAAATGACCAGTCCGCCATCTTGGATGGTCCGCCATATCCGATTTTAGAATGACGTCACATCATTTTTCAAGTTACTCTCAACGAGCCTTTTCATTTGATACCCATATTGTAAAAGTATATCAAAAATAGCTATTCCGCCATCTTGGATAGTCCGCCATATTGGATTTAGAATAACCTGACACACCTTATCGTGCATTGTCATCCAAACTGAACGTGTATACAAAATTTCAGCTCAATCGGTTGAAGATTTCTACTTCAAAATTGAGTTCAAAGATTCCACCCGAAATACATACATACATCCATACAAACATACAATTTTGCGGAAGTTGATTTTCTGTATTTGGCTATAGAGGCATTCGGCATTCTTAGAATAATAAAGATTTGAAGGTTATTCGTTTATTCAATTGGAATATCCTGTACTGCGTCACTGTCTGTATTGTCTTTCTAAGTGACTGTTTTTTTTTTTGCAGACGAGAATTCTCCATGTTTACTCAGACAATTCACATGTGCAAACAAGAAATGTATACCAATATCTTTTTTGTGCGATGACGAAAAAGATTGTGAAGATGGGTCAGATGAAGATCCTAAGGAATGTATGAGTAAGTAAAGAATCAATCGGAAACGAGGTATATACTCATGCTTCGTAATATTTAATAATCATTAAAAAACATTTGATTATGGCTAAAAGAATAATCATCACTGATTTTCACTGCCAAATATTAAATTTAAAATGTGAAACAGAGGTTTTATTCATACTGTTTTGTGTTACCGTATGATATCGGAGAAAATAATCATTTCTGCATCGATGAATTTCTGAAATGACTAGCAAAATATAACGAATTAACTACTAAATAATACTCCAAGTCATCTCCACGACATTTATAATATTTTCAACAAATCAAATTACTTGGGTTTCAGACATATATATATACAGGGTGGGCCACCAGTAACGCCTCGGTCTTTAGAAGGCTAACCACTCATCTTGTTGAAATTCTTCCTCTTTAGGACGTTGCATGTCGCATGTCAACATTGGCTACCATTTGAAATTATTTCGAAACATACAGGGTGTCCCGAAAAACCGCAAAACACTAAAGTTATACTTTTTTTAATTGAACACCCTATATATCATTTCATTTTGAGATTCTCCCTGATGAGCTGATTTCAACGATCCATCATACTTGAGGTCTAGCAGTTTTAATTACTGAGATATAGGGTGTGAAAAATCGAGATTTTCCAAGTGCAAGAATTTTTTATGTCGAAACTATTCATTATTGGTCAAAACGGTTTACATGCCCCTATCTCAACTTTTCATTCACTATCGATTGGTATCTAATTAAAATAGATACAAGATGGTCAAAATTCTTAACTCTGAACCACCAGTATTTGTTTTAATCGAATATCAATTGATAGTGGATGAAAAGTTGAGTTAGGGACATTAAAAAAGTATAACTTTAGTGTTTTGCGGTTTTTGGGGTCACCCTGTATGTTTTGAAATAATTTCAAATGGTAGCATATGTTGATATGCAACTTTCAAGAGAGGAAGAATTCCAAAAAGATAAGTGGTTAGCCTTCTAGAGACCGAGGCGTTACTGGTGGCCCACCCTGTATATGTCCATCCTCAGCCTTATCAAAAATTACAATTACGCCATGTGGTGAAAAAATGGTAAGTTACATCTTGAAATAGTAATGAAAGTTGATGGGTTTCATTGTATTTCTGGGAGACCCAGCAAACCCCAAAGTGGTACAAAAATATAGTAGGGTGGGCACACATCGGCGAAAGCGAATTATACATGCTGGGGCTATAGAGCGTCAGACAGACCTACGTAATCTGACGTCACTGATTTGATTTTTATGATCCAGTAGCAGCATTAATCTCTTGCTCAACTCAAACAAACAGAAAGCTTGATTTACTGCTCAACACAAACAAATCATTTCTGAACATAGCCTAATCTGAGTAATTTCCAAATGTGTTTTGATATGGTTTCGATTGGAGGCTTTGATCGTTGATGTTGATCGAGAGAAAAGAATAAGCGATTAAAATGATAAAACCGTCAGCATTATTCGAGCATGATGTCCGAATTCGCGTCTATTACGCCTGCAATGTTAACAATTCTACTTTTTTATTTTATAGGTACCGGGTGGTCCATTCAAGACTATCCACCCTCGATATCTCCCAGATTTATTATTTCACAAAAAATTTACGAAACAGTTCGATTTTTATATGGAGGGGGACACCTTTTGACGCGAAATAAATAATCCATAGTTCAACCCTCTACTCCCCAGAGCAATCCCCTCAATAATTTGAATAGGGAATAAGGGTCGTGTTATACATCATTGCGAAGGTTTTTCAATTCTGAAACTAGCAGTGGAAAGTTTACTGAATTCAAACAAGTCGTTCTCGAGATATGCGAGTTCGAATGGTATGTTTTTCAATTGTTCAAAATGGCCTCTATTGACTCCTAGACAGAGAATGTTTCTCTTGATATTGCCTGGCATTCAGTTCTCATTCTTCTCTCCTAATCATCGAGGTCAGTAGGTTCCGTTTTATAAATTACCGATTTTAAATGACCCCATAGGAAAAAGTCATTGGGTACCAAGTCCGGCAGACGTGCTGTCCATTCTATTGGTCCTCTACGGACCTATATGATGATTGTAATCGAAATCTATTGGCAGATAATATTTATTCTCAACAAGATGATGTGTCATCTTATTCCGTATCACAGGTGAGAGAATGGCTACCCCAAAATTTCCCAAATAAATAGATATGTCCTGAAGGACCAATGATTTTTTTCTTTGAGGTCATCCGAAATCCGTTAGTCATAAAACGGAATCTACTATGATCTGGACGATAATTTGAGAAGAATTAGGGTTGAATGCCAGGCAATAACTAGAGAAACATCTCAAATGTGCCAAAGGAAATTCACAACTAGATTCTACCACTGTCTGGAAGTCGATGAAGGTAATTTTGAACATGTGTTGTGGATAACCATTCAATAATTCAATCCGTACGTTCAATTACTCGCAATTAGAAAACATACCATTTGAACTCGAATATCTCGAGAACGACTTGTTGGAATTCAAAAAACCACTGCTAGTTTCAGAGTTGAATTATAGTTTATCCAAAAACAATTGATGAGTCTCATGCCGCACCTGCTGTCAGTTCAAAGGAAACTTCAAACACGCCGACGCTGCACAGTGCGGGATATTCTGCAATTGATATTGGATATACTTTACCTACGCAATAACACGACCCTTATTCCCTATTCAAATTATTGAGGGGGTTGCTCTGGGTAGTAGAAGGTTGAAGTATGGATTATTTAATTTGCGTCAAAAGGTGTCCCCCTTTATATGAAAATCGACCTGTTTCGTAATTTTTTTTGTAAAATAATAATTCTGGGAGATATCGAGGGTGGATAGTTATATATCTATACATTATTATTGCATTTTTCGCCATTTTCTTTGATTTTGATTTTTCTGCTTCCTGAAAATTCGTGGAGCAAATAAATCCTGCTTGAAGTGATCTATGGCAACTTGCTCCAGTCAAACGAACACCAGAGGGGGGAATGTATAATCTCTGGGAACATTCAATCATCAATTGCTGGGAACAAACGAACATCGAATATTTCATATTTCTCATACTACTTTTTAGCAGGGTGAGCATGACAAAGGAACCTCTAGAAGCCTCTAGAAACTTTATTCGAATAGCGACCGTGAGCTAAAATCTAATATTTTTCCCGTGTATAATACACTATTCTTTTCTGTGACAGAAGAAAGGACGAATCAATATTGAGAAGATATTACATTATTTTGAAATCTGAGAATTATCGACGTGAAATTTTAAGTTTTTAACAGTAGGGACACCTGCGTTGTAGGCATCTTTTTCATTCTTTTGAAGTAATCAAATATCTAATATCACTTCTGTCAGTCTAATTCTGTGATTTAAAAAAATTGCGAATTTAGTGGTTGTAATATACGTAACCGCGAAGTCGAATGGAAGATAAAAGTACTTGCAGATCTTTCTCGGAGACGGTATTATTGACTCATTTTCCGGAACTATAGCACAACAAAAGCCATCAACAGTGTATATATATGTGATATATATCCGGGAAAAAAGTACTTACTTTTTTCCCACGGGAAAAAAGTAATTTATGAAAAGTGACATTTTATAGCCTGCCAACAGAGATGAAATGCCAAACATTTTTCCCGTCACAGAAAAAAATGTTTTTTTTTCATTTTCATGCCCTAACCCTAACATAATACAGGCTAGGTTATAGGTAGTAGTGGTAGTGGGAACCACCCTCGGTAGGTAACCTATGAAGGAAAAAAAAATGGAATAGAACTTACCTAAGTATATACAGATGAACCAGTTGCATCATTCATTTTTCAGCTCAATTTCTTCCATAAGACACAATAATAATATACAAAGCCAAAGTCCAGTGTTGGCATCATTACGTGATAACATGAAGAAACTACGAACTAACATCAGGAAATATCTATGCCATTTTCAATTTTAGTGAACTGCATTGAGAAGTGGGTAGGCATTTATTTATTTTGCAAGGTTTTCCTTTTGAAAATACACCTCAACGTTATTAATTGTAATAAGCCACCTCTATATAACGATATCGATATCAAAACAACAACACCCACGCAATGTTTGTTTAATATAAATACTAAATACAATAATACAAATACCTAATTGTTAGTAAATATCTGCCGACATATCATCAATGAAACTGCAACTAGTTCACTACGTTCGCCATGTTTAGGACTTTGATTTTGAAGAACAGAATGTTGTGGTATAGATAAGAGACGCGTGTTATATGAAAAGATCAAAAAGCAAACATAATTGATTGGGTCAAACAAGATCCTCTCTTCATTGAGTGATGATCTCAAGACCAGAGATGATTTTTTTGTTGAAAATTGGGCTTATTGGGGTGAACATTTATTTTGCTGGTGCTCTGGAAATTAATGCAAGTGAAGGTTAGTTTTTATTTAAGATTTATTGAAAATAGGATAATTAAAAATGTGGTGGGCTATAGGCAAGTTGTATTTTTTTGATCAGTTTTCGTAATACTTATTGAATGTTTGTATATTTGTTGCAACCCAGGAGAAATTGATGATTTCCATCTAATGACCATGAAACATAGAAAAATAAATCAAATGATAAAATAGGTATATATTTGTTGTTGTGCAACAAGTACTATTTTTGATATTTTCATTTCTTGAGACCATTTATTACTACTAATACTATTACCGATTGGAAAGTGATTCAAACACAATAGGTTATATACACTCCTCAACGAAGGGATAATAGGGATAATACAATTTCACAAGTTTCATTGATATATTATTGGATACCTTATGCATAGATCTACATTTCACTATTACCATAGATTATTACTATTACTGATGGGAAAGTGATTCAAACACAATAGGTTATATACACTCCTCAACGAAGGGATAATAGGGATAATACAATTTCACAAGTTTCATTGATATATTATTGGATACCTTATGCATAGATCTACATTTCGATGCCTTATGCTAAAAAATTGTTTCGAAAACAATTAAGTGACTTGAGTACATGCGAGAAACGAAT